TGAAGCCTTTGGGGGATTGTGAGTTATTCCCATGATTGAGAATAAAATTATCTTATAATTTGATATCAAAGTTTTACTAGAAATTTGCTTGACCATCAGTCATCTGGAGTGAGTCAAGAAGAGTAAGGATTGAAAGTGAGTCAGGTGGGTTGCATAGATGAGTCTGTGCTGCAGACCAAATCATCTTTCCATAACTCATTCTTCCCACTCTGCCTCTTAGAAGACTAGAATATGTCCAACATAATCCATAGGACTATCAAATGTTAGCTTTGGAGGAAAACACACCTGGGTTTATGCCTAGGTTTTTCTAATTGCTAGCTGTGTGACCTAGAAAATTACTTACCTACTCTGTGCTCATTTCCTTCATCTGTGAAGTGGAAACAATAACAACTCTCTCACAAGGTTGTTGTGAAGATCTCTGAAACCTCTTAGGTTCTGAGAGGTTGTGAGTGTTCAATAAAGAGAGAAATTATTTCCATTTTCACTATCTGCATCTCTTATCTGGTTTATTACTGAACTTCTACGCACCATTTCCATCATGTACATGCCATTCAAACTCTCCAATGACTGCTTAGTTTTCAAAGTCTAAAGTGAAATTATTGACTGGAAAGTGTAATCATTCCTGGAGTCCTGTCTTTGGGATTTGTACTAGCTATCTATCTATTGTGCAAAAATTACCACAAGCTTAGTGGCTTAAAACGTCACACATTTGTTATTCCACAGTTTCTGTGGGTCAGGAGTCTAGGCACAGTTCAGCTGGATATTCTAAGTCTCATAAGGTTGCTTTCAAGGTGCTGGCTAGGCTGTGGACTCATCTGAGGCTCAACAATGGATGGACCCATTTCCAAGCTAATATGATGAAATCAGATTTTTGTATATTGCTGGACTGAGGCCTTAGTTTATGCAGGGTATAAGTCGAAGGCCAAACTCAGTTCTTTGCCATGTGGGTAGCTCATAGGGTAGCTCACACACATGGTTATTTGCTGGATTAAGGTCAGCAAGCAAGAGAGTTTCTAGCAAGATAAAATTTACAATCTTATGCAACATAAGCATATAAATCCTGTTATCTTTGTGTTCATGCTATTGGTTATAAGCAAATCACAGTTCTGCTTATATCAATTGAAGGGGATCACAACAGGAGTGTGACCACACAGAAGTAGAAATCATGGGAGCATTTTTAGAGTCTGTCTGCCACAGGTTCCAGGATCAAACTCTGGATTGATTGCCAGCTCCATTATTTATTTCTCTTGCCCCTTTCTGCATATGTAAAAATGGAGATAGAGTGATTCTATATCATCTAGCCTCCCAAAGTGCTGGGACTACAGGCATGAGCCATCATGCCAGTAGGCACAGTTGATTTTGAAAGTCAGAAGCTCTCTAGGAACATAGGAGGTCCCTGGACCACTTTTATCCTTGGAGAGAGCAAAAGGGTTCCATTGCTAGCAGAGCATCCTGGTTCACTGTTCCAATATTTTGGCAGTAACTACTACAGCTGCCCAAACTCTTTCCATGCAGCTGAAGTGGGTATTGAAGACAGCCCTGTTGGAACCAGAAGGTCTCCAAGAACAGTTCACAGATATGTCTTGGTGAGTTATCAGAACTTGTGAAAAGAAGCAGGAACCCACGCTTACTCTTGTGTGGTTTCTAGGGCTTCTTCAGTCCTCCTGCTGCAGTGCTCTAGGGTCTTGGACATGCCAATTTCTGAACCTACTCCTCTGTCTCCAGGGGCTGGAGTCACAGTGAACTGAGAGCAGGGTAATTCTAACTGCTATTCTATAGATACCCAAGAAAAAATGTAGGATCATCTCTGTCTCTAATGAGTCTGTTCCATGCTTTTGACACACATAAATCCCTACACTTGGGGCACAGGAGTGTGGCAAGACCACTTTGCAGCAAGTTAAAATGGAATTCAGGGGTAATTTTTTCTTATGGAGGAAAAATCCAAGTTTATATATGTTGGCTGTTCCTAGGAGCCAATAAGCCATCAGAAATAATTGACTCAGGAAAAGGACCTAGAAGTTATTCAAGATCGTCCCCTGAGGAGGACTGTAAGTCCATACATTTCCATGACCACAATAGCTAACATCATTCAGAGGGTTCTAGAAATAAAAGAGAGAACATTTCCTATGCCTTTAAGAACACAATGCTGGTGGTCATGCTCAAAGAAGAATTTTAGAAATGGAGACTGGCTCACCTAAAAGAACAATTAGAATGATTTAAGGGGATCGGAGAGAGTTGGGAGCTGTACAAAGCTGACTCAAAAGAAAAAGATAGTCTGAGATGCAATAAAAAAGGATGGTTTTCACAGTTGTACAAGTAAGGTAATGCCTCTGAAAGCTCAAAGAGATAAAATTTAGAATAAATAAAGGGAAGTGCCATTTCACCACAACTTGTGAAACTGGTAAGACTTATAAACCTGGGCCATCCTTCAATCTAAAAATGTGAGACATTGAAAACTATAGGTTTTGAAGTATTTAAGCAAATGTATGGATCGCTAGATCCACTGTGGGTAAGGAAGCATGGTTAATTGCATTGATGGGCCCAGTTCTTCACTCTTCCTATGATAATGACCCAGGTCATGTTGCTTTGTAGTAGCATCCCAGTGAAGGTTATGTGATGTGTTCTTTGCCATGTGACTTGCTTTGCACAATGGGGTGTTAGCAGACATGACGTAAGCAGAGGCTTGGAATGGACTTGAATAATGGAGCTTGTCCTTAGCACTTTGCCTTTGCCATGAGGACCTGCCTGGCTAGCTAAAATCAAGAGACACGTGGAGTAGTTGCCCCAGCAGAAGCCAACCCCTACAGTTGTAAGCTAATCCAGCTAAGATCAGCAGAACTGCCTGCCAACCCCAGTGATTCTAGGAATGTAAACAAAAACACTTAAGCCATTGAGTGTTTGGTTGTTTGTTATGTAGTATCAATGTAGCTATAGATAAATGAGACTGGAAGGGAAATTTGGGTTGTATGACATGTGTATATTCATATCCTATCAGAGTGACATTGAAGGCAATCTGCTATTCCCACATTGTCCCTTGGTGTAACTTTCAGGAGTCAGAATATTGGGCTTGTCAGCCTATGAATCTGATCTAGTATGGTGATTCTTAGATTGAGTTGTGAAAATATAGCTTAAAATACAGAGGGCATCGAAATTTGATCAGTATAGTGTCATAAAAGCTGCCTACTTGGGAGTGTGAAGGGGTCCATCAGATAGAAAGAAAAATACCTTGGTTCAAAAAAGATTTCCAAAGTTCTCTCCCTTTTCTTGCCATTGATGGTGTGTGGTTGAATCCATTTCTCACCATGTTTTCTCACAAGCCTTTCAGGATCAAGTGATTCCTGGCAAGAAACAAAAGCAAGATCATCCCATTCCCCAATGGATTCAGATGAAAACTGATGATAGAGTCAGGTACAACTCCAAGAGGAGGCATTTGGGAAGAACCAAGTTGGGTCTAAAAGTAATTACAAATGAGATGACACATGTATTTATGCTGTATAAAGGTCACTATTATCTTAACACATCAAGCTGAAAACAACATCACCACAATCTGGACAATTGGACATGTTTTATTGGAAAATGATTTTCCTATTTGTTTCTATGCTTCTGCACTAGTAGATTGGTTTGATAATTAACATGTGAGACCTTTTGTTTGAAAAACAAAAAACAAAATAGTTTCCAAATAGTTCAGAAATTCAGGGAAAATTAATTACCAAACTCTCGTCCTGTGCTATGCAATGAATTGCCCTCCTTGCTTTACTGCAAATACAGTGCTCATGTTTGAGATTGAATATTCACCAATTAAACTGTAATTATTATTATTATTTTTGCATTGCCCTTCTTTGTAAGTTTATCCTTGGTTTGTTTTTTGGAATAGGGTTCTTTGTAAATCTTCCCCGATTTACAAAGGGCACAGGTATGGAAAATTAGCAAATTCATAATATTAATCAGAACATTATTAAACAGCAGGCAAGCCAAATCATTAACCTAACTGGGAAGATGAAATAGAATAAATTAAGAGTAAGATGCTAAGCAAATAGAAAAGATATAAAAACTTCTTTATTTGTTAGTTCAACTCAATCTTGACCTTAGCTTGTACAAAGGTGAACTCAATACTATAGGGAGAAATTGGGGCTTTCTAAAAGCAGTTTCAGAAAGGGCACAGTTGACCCCCCTTTTTTTTTGAGAAAGTCTTGCTCTGTTACTCAGGCTGGAGTGCAGTGGCATGATCATAGCTCACTGCAACCTCGAACTCTTGGGCTCAAACGAGTGATAGGCGCACCATCTGAGGGATGGTCACGCTGGAGACTCAGACTTATGGGGGAGGGGGAAGGGCATTTATTGAAACTTTAAATCTGTACCCCATAATATGCCAAATAAAAAAGAAAAAAAAGAAAAAAATACTAAAAAAAAAAAAAAAAGTGATCCTCCCAGTCAGCCTTTTTTAGAGTAGAGTGCCGTGGCGTCAGCCTAGCTCACAGCAACCTCAAACTCCTGGGCTCAAGCGATCCTCCTGCCTCAGCCTCCCGAGTAGCTGGAACTATAGGTGAGAGCCACCATGCCACCATGCCCGGCTAATTTTTTGTTTCTATTTTTAGTTGCCTGGCTAATTTTTTTCTATTTTTAGTAGAGACAGGGTCTCACTCTTGCTCAGACTGGCCTCAAACTCCTGACCTCAAGCAGTCCACCCACCTCGGCCTCCCAGTGTGCTAGAATTACATGCATGAGCCACCATGCCCGGCCCATGGTGGTAACTTTATAAAGCATATTCACTTGTTTCCAAAAATCTGGACTGAGACCAGTGAATTATTTTGTAACAATTTTCTAAACAAACCCCAAGGTCAATTAGGTTTAATCTTCTGGGACTCCAGAACCAGAGATATGGAGTCAAACATTGAACCTCACAACTCAGAGCATTTCTTTGATTTCCCTTTTCAGTTTTAAGTGCAGTAATCTAATATTTAAGAAGCAACAAATACCCCTACACAGCTAAAAGAACTCACCATTTTTTGGGCATTCTCCTCAGTAATATTGGTGTTATAATCCCAAGAAGCAAGTGCACTTTGATGAGACAAATCTTCAGCTTCATTGTTAAAATTCTCCAAAAATGTCTTGGCTTGTTCCTCAGTGGTGGACTGAGCCGCAGTGACAGAAATAAGGCTGAGAAGGAGCCAGAAGGAGCTTGACATCTTCCCTGGTGAGCCAAGATCACATCCACTGAACAATCTTTCCCTAGAGTAAAACCTCCTCATGAGATTTTCTCTCATCAGCCTTTGAACTTGGGTTGGGCACTGAGCAGGAAAGACCCACACAAAAAAAAAAAAAAGAAGGAGGAAAAGGAGAAGAAAACAATAAACAATCTGCTGAACTAAGATTAAAGTTCATCCTGGAGAGGACAGATAAGTAAAAGATTTTAGAATAATTTTTAAAAGTAAATCAAATAACCCAATGTTATTAATTCTAAGAACCTTAACTCTCCTATCATTTTGTGGCCAAATCAAAACATGGACATTTGATTTATATGTTACTTAAAAACTGTTAAATATATACTGAAGATGTTATTATTTTACAGTAACCAAAGAAGTCTAGAATGAAGGATCATGGGGCTATTGTTTGTGTTTATATGTTTTTCAGACAATTATGTTAATTGTCAGTTATCCCTCATTTATTTTTATTTTTATTTTTTTGGTGGAAGATTATGCTTCAGTATAGTTTGATCGTTTTTTCCAAACATCATCTATGTAGTCATGATGGCCAAAAACCTGTTTATGGCATGTTATAAATATTTATTTAATTGAAGAACTTTTTCATAATTTGTAAAACTTCTTTGAGGTACTAAATATACGGCAAATCAAGATTAGAAACACCAAGTGGCCTTAAATATATTAATGATAATTTCAAATGTTTTACTTATCTTCAGTTAGAATGGTCATTGCTCAGCAAATGTTAAACACTGGGGATCACAAAGAAAGTTATTTTCTCTGTCCAAGAAGTTAATTTATAGTTAATCCCAAAGAAGATAAACTTCGATCATCAGATAGTCTATTAAAATAACTTACACTGTTTTTATTTAGTGAGCAATGCTGTCTTAGGGAGAACAGATACTAATCTTTGATAAACACAGCGTAAAGTCAGTGATATAATAAATACAGGAACAAATTTCCCCTTTGTGCAGGAAAGATTTGCTGTCAAGAAGATACACAGAATCAAGAATGATATTTCTTAATTCTTGACCCTGAGTTCTCTGCTGCTTGCAAGCCAAGAAGCAGGCAAAGAAAGAAGCATTATAGCTGGCTTCTGGTTTATATTCCCGGCAGCTGCTCTGTGAGACTTCAGAGGAGCCCCAGAGGTGGGAGGTGCCTGTTTATTCCCCCAGCTCAAACTTTTTAAGTAATCTTGGTTTTAGAACTGCCCATTTGAGATAGCCATGCAGACTGGAGCTCCAAATGCAAGAATGCAAAGCCCTGGGTAAAGTGTTGCCACGTAATGCAGAGATTAAGTCCCAGACCACGTACCAGTGCAAGTCACACACACATCATATATCATTAAATTCAGCATACGATATATCATATGCTATGACTATTATATATGGTCATAATCCACTTTAGAGATAAGGAAACTGGGACCAAGGAAGTTAAGAAATTTGCTGAAGACTTTCAGCTTGTAGAGTCGAGCTAAGATTTGAAGCCAGGCGTATGCTGCCCAGAGTCACACTTACTATTTCAGACACTTATACTTGATCCACTACATGTGCACTAACTACTCTTAGAGCGTAGCATTCTCAGCAGCCTGGCTTACCTGGGTACTCTTGTAGTATCTGCCATGATGGCTTTGCATCAGAGGACAGAGAATAGAAGAAAGCCATTACCCCCCACTCATTGCCTCCTTCCCAGGTAAACCCACAGAGGTGCACTTAGGTGCACTAATGCCCCCTCACCATTGCTTCAGGAAAGAGGTATCAGGGCCCCCTGTTTGCTCTTGCTTACGTATTCTCACTTTTCCTTTAAAAGGGCCATAATTTTATCCAGTTTATGTCTTTTCATTTCGATCTTTCTCTAATCAACCAGTACAAGTCAAAAAGTAGCACTTAACAATCCAGAGATGGTTTCAGCAAACCACTACTCTCATTCCATGACATGGCTTCTCAGGCTCTCACAAATTGTTAAATGTCTTTTCAAAAATCTACTCCCTCTTTACACTATAACAGTGACATCTTACTGGTCTCTGTGTGCACAAGCATCAGCCTATTCTGGTGATTTTCTGGGCTCTCAACAAAACTGTTATATATGTTTTCAAAAAATCCTAACTTCCTTTACACTAATAACTCGATGATCATTACTGTTCTCCTGTGTGCACAAGCATCAAGTACTATTCTAGTGGTTTTCTGTATTATTAGCCTTCACAGCACTCCTAGGAGGCAGATATGAGTATTGATTTCTTTTCACAGATAAAAAAACTAAGGTGCAGGAGAGGTAACTTAGTAGCTCAGTTCACCCAGGTAAAAAGTCGATGAAGCAGGATTAGCGACATAAGCAATCTGGCTCCAGGGCTCTTAGACATAAGGTCTATCTACAGACATCACAATGGACTATTCAACTGAGGCATGAAACAAATCATGTACACTGCAGTCACCTCTAGCAGAAGATCACGTAAAAAGTTGAGGGGAAAAAGAAAGAATGAAAAGATGAAGAGATAAAAAAGATGTAAGGACCAAAACTATGAGACAAGAAAAACAGACCTCTCATGCAAAAATTGGCTACTAAAATTCCTGGGGTTTCTTGAGCTTTAAAAGAGGCTATTAGGAGCAATATAAGAAAAACCTCTTGAGGGATTTCAAATGCAGCAGTAGGTCTCAGATTTTTGTTTCGTGCAATTGGACAGTAATTATATTTAAACAGCGTACCCTAATTGTTTGAAAAGATAAAATCTGAACACTACTTTTCAAAGAAAAATTATTGGTGAAGAGAGCTGCCACAAATCTTTTCTTAAGATTGTGCTGATATTAAGATTTATTCTTAAGATAATGTTGTTTCAATTTTCAGCATTTAATGGTGTAAGGATACTACTTTGGATTTGTAGAGAGAAATTCGCTAAGTCCTTCCAAACAAGCATCTTGCTTTCCCAGCCGCCTTAAGATTTGCCAAAATGGTTAATATTAGTTTTGGCTGGCACGGGCTGGTGGCTGGATTTTTGACTTGAAAGTCAACACATGAGGGAAGAAGATTCCAAGTCAGCTTCACCAACCATGCTTTAACTCAATTAATATTAATAGCTAAGTTCTTTACTAGAGTCTCCAGTTGCCATTTTTCAGTTATGGACATATCATTTGTAGAGATCTTTAGATTTCTTGTGATATTGTAGGCTACGAGAATTTATTAAGTCTAATAACTTAACCATGTCCATGAAATGCTTTGAACCCTGACTATGAGATTATGGTGGTACTGTAGGATCAGCTATTAATCTCCATTCCTATTTTCTTTTTTCTCTCTTTCTCTTCTTCTTTCTTTTTTCTTCTTCTTCTTTTCTTCTTTCTTTCTTCTTGGTCTTTTTTTTTTTTTAAAGTTTCAATAAATGCCCTTCCCCCCTCCCCCCATAAGTCTGAGTCTCCAGCGTGACCATCCCTCAGATGGTGCGCCTATCACTCGTTTGAGCCCAAGAGTTCGAGGTTGCAGTGAGCTATGATCATGCCACTGCACTCCAGCCTGAGTAACAGAGCAAGACTTTCTCAAAAAAAAAAGGGGGGTCAACTGTGCCCTTTCTGAAACTGCTTTTAGAAAGCCCCAATTTCTCCCTATAGTATTGAGTTCACCTTTGTACAAGCTAAGGTCAAGATTGAGTTGAACTAACAAATAAGAAAGATTTTTATTATCTTTTCTATTTGCTTAGCATCTTACTCTTAATTTATTCTATTTCATCTTCCCAGTTAGGTTAATGATTTGGCTTGCCTGCTGTTTAATAATGTTCTGATTAATATTATGAATTTGCTAATTTTCCATACCTGTGCCCTTTGTAAATCGGGGAAGATTTACAAAGAACCCTATTCCAAAAAAAACAAACCAAGGATAAACTTACAAAGAAGGGGCAATGCAAAAAATAATAATAATAATTACAGTTTAATTGGTGAATATTCAATCTCAAACATGAGCACTGTATTTGCTGTAAAGCAAGGAGGGCAATTCATTGCATAGCACAGGACGAGAGTTTGGTAATTAATTTTCACTGAATTTCTGAACTATTTGGAAACCTATTTTGTTTTTTGTTTTTCAAACAAAAGGTCTCACATGTTAATTATCAAACCAATCTACTAGTGCAGAAGCATAGAAACAAATAGGAAAATCATTTTCCCAATAAAACATGTCCAATTGTCCAGATTGTGGTGATGTTGTTTTCAGCTTGATGTGTTAAGATAATAGTGACCTTTATACAGCATAAATACATGTGTCATCTCATTTGTAATTACTTTTAGACCCAACTTGGTTCTTCCCAAATGCCTCCTCTTGGAGTTGTACCTGACTCTATCATCAGTTTTCATCTGAATCCATTGGGGAATGGGATGATCTTGCTTTTGTTTCTTGGCCAGGAATCACTTGATCCTGAAAGGCTTGTGAGAAAACATGGTGAGAAATGGATTCAACCACACACACCATAATGGCAGAAAAAGGGAGAGAACTTTGGAAATCTTTTTTGAACCAAGGTATTTTTCTTTCTATCTGATGGACCCCTTCACACTCCCAAGTAGGCAGCTTTTATGACACTATACTGATCAAATTTCGATGCCCTCTGTATTTTAAGCTATATTTTCACAACTCAATCTAAGAATCACCATACTAGATCAGATTCATAGGCTGACAAGCCCAATATTCTGACTCCTGAAAGTTACACCAAGGGACAATGTGGGAATAGCAGATTGCCTTCAATGTCACTCTGATAGGATATGAATATACACATGTCATACAACCCAAATTTCCCTTCCAGTCTCATTTATCTATAGCTACATTGATACTACATAACAAACAACCAAAACCTCAATGGCTTAAGTGTTTATTGTTTACATTCCTAGAATCACTGGGGGTTGGCAGGCAGTTCTGCTGATCTTAGCTGGATTAGCTTACAACTGTAGGGGTTGGCTTCTGCTGGGGCAACTACTCCACGTGTCTCTTGATTTTAGCTAGCCAGGCAGGTCCTCATGGCAAAGGCAAAAGTGCTAAGGACAAGCTCCATTATTCAAGTCCATTCCAAGCCTCTGCTTACGTCATGTCTGCTAACACCCCATTGGTCAAAGCAAGTCACATGGCA